TTCCTTAAAAACAGGCTGGTTTTATTTGCTAGTACAGCTGAGTGTAGGTGGAACTAATAGGAAAGAAGAATAGTGAACCTGGGAGAACTTGCACATGAAACAGGTCTAATAAGGGTGAAACTGTTTGCCTTAGAGGCTGGATGTATTAGACATGAAAAATTCCTAGGGGAAAATGATGGGCTGGTAAGTTTTATTCATGCTCTCTCATTAGGACAAGGCGCTCTAGGAAAACAAGATTAAAATTAGTATTCTTTTCCTTCACAAATACACAGTTAATCTTTGGTATTCACACCCACATGAGACATGAGGGCATTCAGCAGTGCAGGGCGTTTACCAGGATCATAAGAACAGCCCGATTCTAAGTAGCACAGATGCTAAAAAAGGAGAAGAAATTGTTTGAAAGCCATACACCTTCATGTTTTGTTAGCCATCTCTAATTAACAGAATGTTACAAAGTTAATGGAACAAAGTTAATGCTTTTCAAATACTTCAGAAACAGCTTTCCAAGATCTTCCTCTGAAGCTGCCTGCAGTACATCCCGTACTGGCCAGACTTTACTGTAATGTGGCAATTCCATGAATAACAGATAGCTTCAGACACCTCCGTGGGACAGAGTAGAGAAAGGGTGTCAAGAGGAAGAAGAGAAGCAGCATAAACATCTTGTGAGTGGGAACAGGACACTCACCATGACTTTTTTGACTTTTAACATTTTTGGAGTTTGTTTCACTGCTTTCACTATGTAATCAAAGCCTTGCATTTGGAGGCTGCAGAGCTCTCTGCTGTTGTTGGGAAGGCCTTGGGTGACAGCCCAGGTACTGTTGTGAAGTGGAAGGTGGAAGCTGTAGTCATTCCCCAGTGATCTGTGGATTAACTAGATTACAGTTAATACAGCTGGATGAAATATTTGGCTGTCTTGGATTAGCCAGGCCTGGCAGCATGGGATGTGCTGCTGTCTTATCAGCTTGAGCAAGAACAGAGCAAAGGTAGGAAGCCAGATTATCCATCCTTAAAATCCACCTTGCATGGTGGCATGAGGCACAGATGGAATATGCTACAGGCGTGGCGCTGGAATAAATTCATCCAACAATGCTTTACTTTGTGTCATGAATAATCTTCAATCATCTGAGCAGGAGCATGGTTTGATGCTGTCTTTAGCAGAATTAACAGCCTGAAAGTCTTGGCCTCTTCAGCTTCATCTTCAGCTCTGTCCTCTGTCTCTGATTTCTCATTTAATTTTGGACAAGCCACTTAATATCTCACTGGCTTAATAATATGCAGGTGTTTTCCTGTCTCCTTTTGGTGTTAGGAGAGTAAGTATTTACTGAATAGCAGAGGGGGGGAAAAAAAAGGCACTTTAGGCTAAGGGCAGCTCCTGCTGGCAAATGTTTTACAAGTGTGCCTCTGGTTATGTCTCTGTCCTCACAGGCAGAGATCAGAGCTAGATTTGCCATGCAGCATCACAAGATGATGTGAAAAACACCATGTATTTTTCAGTAGGTGAGATGTAGAACAAATGCTTTTGTCACCTGCAGAACTGGTTGACATGTTAGAGAATTAGCTTCAACCCTGAGTTTGCAAATGCTGAGTGTTGAGTGCAGGCAAGGAAGCGGGGCTGAGCTTTTGTGCTGCTGCTGGCAGCTCACCTTTTGTTGTCAGCAGCAAAGCAAAATTTTAAATCAGTCAGACCCTCCAACACCACAGGATGGAACTCACATTTAAAACATGGCACGTCTGTAATCCCTGCCCTGAGCAGCTGCCTTGAAGAACGCACATCCTCCTGTGCAGAATAGCCGGTGCAAAGGCAACAATCAAGGCAACGTGTGAAAAGCTTCCCTCTGCAACCTGCACCGTGACCTATTGAGAGAAACCTCCCCTTTTAGCTTTTAGCTCTGCTAGACAATTTACTGTGTCTCAGCTGTCTCACTGCATTATGTCCTTCAAACCCCCCCAGAATTAACGTTTGGAGCCAGCAAACACTGCTGGCTCCACAAGAAAAGCTGAGAGCGGAAAGGTCAGGTCGATTAAAGCACTTGATCAGAATCTTTAACATAAAGACGTCACAAGCAAAGCAGTAACGCTACTTCACGCTCAGCTAAGAGCAAATGATTCATCAGGCAAGGCTGCTTATTTTTGGAGGATAGCCACAAAAGAGAAGAGAACATGCTGGCTGTATCGATCACGGTTTTAACGGGGGACCGCAGAGCCCTTCTCTAGTTTTGATGGAAATTTAATGTCAGAAATACATCATCCAGTGTAAATACATCAATACATATTTTACATTGAATGGATTTTAAAGATGTTCTGGCCTAGCTTAGCAGAATCATATCACCTCTTCACAAATCTCAGAGCAGTCATTTAAAGCAGAGGGTTATTTTGCAATATTCTGTGTTTGACGCTGCTAAAGACAGAGTCTTTTGGGGAGGACTTCTGTAAAGGTGTCTGGAGATGCAGGTGTGCTCTGGAATCTCTAGAGCTTGTGCCTACAGAGTAGACCTACAGTGGGTGAAGATGCACCAGTGTTGAGCAGATTCAGCCTAAAGGATGGCTTCATCTGGCTGACCCCCACTGCCTCCTGTGTCCAGAAGTGTTTGGAAATACTGTGGGAACAGGCACTGCTGCTCAGGCAGCTGCACATCCCTTGAGCAGAGAGCTCCTGCTTGCCCCAAGCAGCCTCTCTGTCTGACCCTCGGGAAGGGCAGAGGTCCTGCAGTAGCAGCAGCCAGAAATGAGGGGCACATGGAGGTTTAGGTTGGATATCAGGAAAGGGTTTTTCACCCAGAGGGTGGCTGAGCACTGGAACAGGCTCCCCAGGGAAGGGGTCACAGCACCAAACCTGTCTGAGTGCAGAAAACATTTGGACAGCACTCCCAGGCACAGGTGTGTTTCTTGGGGTGTTCTGTGCAGGGCCAGTTGTTGGACTCGATGATCTTGATGGGTCCTTTCCAACTCAGTATGTTGTAGGATTCTGTGATTCTGAGATGAATGAGTGTGAGGAAAAACACAAAGAGAAGAAAAGTTCATGGAAGAATGGTTCAGAGAAGAAAATGCAGCCATAGAGAACGATTGGAAGAGGGAACTCCTGGTGGAAGGATCATTTTCCCAGAGCAGTATGTGAAGGGAGGATGCAGGGAGAGAAGTGTAAGTACAGTGTGATGAGGCATAAGAGCGGAAGCACAAAGGAAGATGACTGGAAAAGAAGGAAAATAGGAGCAAGTGGAGGTGGCAGCCTGGCATGCAGGAACTGCTGTGCAGGATTGCAGGAGGGGGCTTTTGGGACATGGAAACCAATGAAGACCCTTAAGGTTGCTGAATCCAACACCTATGGCCACTGGCAGCAGAGGAGGAGTGATCTGTGAGCAGATGTGCTCCAGAAGTTGGTGAACAGATGATCACAGTGCTCACCCCAGCCCACAGAATGCTTTACAGCACTTTGTAGTTCACCTAAGGCCCTCAGCATGCAAGACCAAGAGAGCAAGACAAGCTCTCTGATGCTGTGGGCAGAGGGATGGGAAAGGAAATTACTTCAGCAGCAGTGGTTTGGATGCTCTGAGGAGGGGGAGTGGAAGCAGATTTCATTACAGACCCAAGGGGTATGTCTGTATTGCATAACACTGTGTGGTGGGGAGGCAGTCACAGCTCTCTGTGCTTTGCTGCAGTCCAGTTCCTGGAAAGGATAGCAGGGCTGTGCTCCTGGAAGTCCAGACAAGCTGGATCCTGTTTGGCCAATGCAGATATCTCAGCTCTGCGTTGCATATTGTAGAAATACCTGTCTATACATGGTTCATATACAAGGTTCCTGTCAATAAGAAGTTGAAAATAATTCAAAGCAGACTCTATGTTGGCAAAACCACTGACCATCAAAGGAAAGGAATAAAAGGTAAGAGGCAAAAGAAGCTCTCCTGTCCCAAAGGTGACATTGTGTGATCAGAAATGCCTCACAGAGAGCAACACTTGTAATTTTTTCCTGAGGCTCCTATTTTCTCTCTGTAGTCTGCTACCTTTTGAGTCAGTGTTCTCCTAATTTAGCCTGCAATGTCATGCAGGACCCAACACACACTCAATCTGCAATTGTGACTCTACCAACCCCTCTACAGAATTAACTGAGCTCTGAATTAGTCATTCAGCATGCCAGTGCATGTAAAATAGACTCAAGTGAATCAGATTTTGTGTGCAGGGACTGAATTGCAGTAAACAGAGTGACTCGGAGAATCCCTGTCTACAAGTGGGCTTCCATGTCCAGAGGGATACTCCTCCTCCACTGGAGCACAGCCTTTCCAAGCAGAACAGAAAGAGGAACCAATCAGTGATTTTTGACTCATGAAGCTATTAATTTTCTCCTACAGTTCTCCTGAGGAAGTAGCAGTGACCAGAGTGTGTAACAGCAGCAGTAGTGCTGTGTTGGCGGGATGTGCAGCGTGAGGGTGGGAGGGGATGTTGGGAATGGAATTTTGATCTCCAGTTTTCAGCTCTTTTTTTGGGATAGGATTAGGTCCCAAAAGAAGAAGGAGGATATGTGTGCTGAAAGGGTGTGAACTGTAATTTTACAAGATTGTTTGACTTGTGTGAAGTGGCTTTTGGTTGGGGAAGAGGTGATGCTGGAGGCAGCACTGTCATCTCAACTGGACCTGGTGGGCAACAAGCCTGGACTCCAACTTTTGGTGAGCTGATCTTCTGCCAGATGCCACCTCCTTGGTCTGTTTTAAGTTCAAAAGAGTTGTGATTTGATCTGTATCATAAAATCATAGAATGGTTTGGCTTAGAAGGGACCTTAAGGGTCACCTAGTTGCAGCCCCTGCAATGGGCAGGGATATCTTTTGCTAGGCCACATTGCTCAGAGCCCCATTCAACCTTTCCTTGAACACTTCCAGCGATCTGCTTGCACCCACAACATCCCAGCTTTAATTATTAATGGTATCCATCAGAACTGTGACTGGGCAGGTAAACTCTAGGTGGAACTATGCCCTCAAAGCAATCTAATCCTGATATTTCTCTCTCTGCAGGGGGTGGAGGGAAACGCAAAGGCAAAAGCAAAAAGTGGAAGGAAATCCTGAAATTCCCTCACATTAGCCAGTGTGAAGATCTGCGAAGAACAATAGGTAAGAGCTTTTCCCTTCTTTGGAAGTAATGCATAAATAAAACATTCTATCAGAACTGGCTGGTTAGAATGGCATTAAAGGTACTCATCACTACAGGGAATCAGTTTACAGGTGGGCATGCCATGCACATTCCTCCCCATGGTGCTGCCATGCAAACTCGGCGTTTTCTGTTCCTAAAAGAGGTTGTGGACCAGGCAGGAGAGACTGGAATGATGCACTTGCAGGACAGGGCTTGGGGCTGGCAGCATCCAGGCCCTTTGTTTTCCATGCACAGGTTCCAGGACCCAAAAGGGTTTCACAGCTGGACCATACCTGGCATGTGGGACAGGGGCTTTCACTCTGTCCCTACCAGTGTGGCTGTAAAAACACATTCAGAAAGGAATCCCCTCATCACATCCTGCATTCCCTTCTAGTAAGTATCTCCTTATCTGGGAGGAAATGAGACTTGCTGACTGTAGTTGAAGGTTAGTGTTAGTTGTAGTGTGGATGTGATGTTTGAAGCAGCAGCCACTGCTCCTGCCAGGCAGGTTTGCTCAGCATCACTTTCCCCAATTCAGCCACAGCACAGCTTGGTGGAGGTTTTTTACAGGACATGTAAAAAACTTCTCTTAATTTGTTTTATTCATGTGGGCCAAATGCTGCAGATTTGGCAGGGAGCTTGCAGTGTCCATTTTCATAGCACTGCATTTCTCCTGCTCATACCTGCCAAATTTCAGCATTCTTTTGACTGCTGCCTTGGCAGACAAGGCTAGTAGCTATCTCCTTCTGCATTCTCCCCTGGAAAGCCCAGGATTACTGGTCTCACCACAAGAGGTTAACTTCAGCATTTGAGGCTCCTTTTCTCCCCTACACATAAAATCCAGCCACTGGCAAGGAATGAATGAAAGGCAAGAATCTGTAACAACTGAGATAACGGGCAGCATAATTTGTCTAACTTGGGTGAACTCCTGGGGTCTGAGTGACAGTGCCCTGGCAATATTTACATTAGCAATCCACAGTATATTTATGCAGAGAAAATATGTGGAATGTTTTGAAAATTCTTTTCATGGTCTCCAGTATAAATTTTCTTCCTTCACCTTCTGTTGTAGAGTTAAAAGAAGGTAAAGGAAAGAGGGGAGGCAGGAGAATAGAGTGCAGGTTTTCCCCAGCTGACAAACATACAAAGCCTGACCAATTGCTGAAGGTACAGGACCTACTGGAAGCAAATCTGACTTAATATATTGTAATTTGCAAAGGGAATTCTCCCCATTGTTCTGTCAGCCTTGGTTCCCAAAGGGGAAAATGGCTCCAGATAAAATGCTCTCTCTTTACAAAAAGTGTACTATCCTAAAATGAGTAGTCTTTAAAAAATTCAGTCTGCTAATTATTTCTGTTTCTGAAATGCTATTTCTGGCTTTTTTTGTGTGTGTCAGCTTCACCCTAATGTAATTTGTTTTGCAATTTTTTTGGTGAATGATTTGGTGATGTAACCAGGCTGTTGTGGGATCTCAGGGTGGATTTGGTTTCAGTCACTTCAGTGATTACCTGTTAACTGGGAATTTCAGCAACTGCCTTTTCCACAGTGGGAAATAAGGTCCAAATCCTGGTTCTGTGACTCTGATTTTTGTTGAGTTGCTTTCCCACTGAGCTGGATGTGATTATACAAGGAATGAGGCGCTGCTCAGCCTGAATAATGTTATCTGTCCTTGTTGGCTCTATCATTTTCAGTAAATCTGTGAAGTAGGAACATCCCAGACAGACAGTTGTCCAAACTTGTTGCTGACAGAGGACACACCTTGGGTGGGTGGGCTATAGTGTTAAGTCCTTTCTGTGTGTGTGCTCAGGATGGATCCATTGCAGATCCCTTGCACTGGGCTCTGTGTTCCCTGGACACCAGGAACAAGTACTGGTCACTGCAGTCTGGCCTTAAATGGCTTCTTTTCCTGCCTCTGCTGAGGAAGAACTATTTCCCTGGCCTTAACCCTTCTTCATTTTTTATTTTCTTCAAGATCTTTAAAAGGATCTCAGGATTTCAGAGCAGTGTCTGCACAGGTACATTACAAGGGAATGTACTGAAATCTTTCCTGGCCCTTCAGCTGCTCTGGGACTTGCAAGGGTTTCAATGTCTTGGGGTGTCTGCACATCAGCCCCTACCCTAACAATTTCTTACCCTTCTAGTCAGTCCTAATAATGAAATAGAGACCCAGAAAGGCTTTTTCCTCCAAGGCTAGGTTGGACGGAGCTTTTAGTGGAAGGTCTTTTGGGGGGATTGGAACTGAATGATCTTTCCAACCTTCCAACCCAAACCATGGTTCTAAACTTTATACAAGGCAAAGGCTGCTAATTCCATTTCTTTAGAGATCATTACAAACACAGGCAGCTTCTGCTCGTCACAAACCTCGTTGCTGCCTGTCCTCCTCCCAGCATTTTCCATCAAACAGAGTCTTGCCACTTAGCTTAAAAAAAAAAATCACAGCAAGCTTTAGAGGGTTGGATGAACTGGAGCACTGGGCTGTTGAGGTTTTGTTGTATTCCTCTCTTCTGGATGCTTCCCAAGAGCCTCTGGGGAAAGGCTGGAGGCAGGAATGGGATGGACTTTTTGATTTAGAGCAGTCATGGACTGCAGAGCTTAGTTTAATGCAGCCATAAGCAACAGATGGAAAATGCTGCTGTTGTGATTGTGGCAGTACGGCCTACATGCGTGTGTAGATGCCCACATTTTGGTGTAAAAACGTGTGTGCTTTTGCACCCCACTAAGATGTACTGAAAAGAGTCTGTGTCTTAAAAAAAATAGCGTAGTGTGAAAAGAAATAGGTGAAAAACAGGAAGGCTGAAATAAACCAAGGGTCTGCGACCTGTGTTGACACAATTATGAGTCAGTTCATACCTTTTGGTTACCTCTGTGTTTACAGGAGACTCTGTGTTTGACTATCCATCATCTGGTGTCTCACTGAAAGACTTGCTTAGTAAAGCCCTTTTTTCCCCCTCCTTGTGCACAGAAATAAAAATCAAAACACCCGAGAGAAACACTGCATTTTGATAAATAAACAAACACTGGAAACATCTTTATTAGAAGTGCCATTTAGCCAAGGAGCTATTTTTTTGGACTGGACTTAAAAGCAACTTCTTTTCTGCTTTCTTTTTTGTCCAAAGTATGCAACACCTTTTGCAGGGAAATTCAGTGGCCTTCATTGTGTGCTAATTAAATAAGCAAGGGAAGCAGGGATGCTGCACTTTACTGGGCTCTGAGAGAGGTTTGTATACTATGAATGGCTAATGCATGTTTCCATTTGCAGCCCTCTTCCTGGCTGTATTTAATTCTATTAAAACAACCAGCCCTTCCCATGTTGGAAGATTTCCATATTGGCACCAGAGGCCCAGTCAATCGATAAAAACTGATGTTTGAGGCATAGTTACCATGACTCATGTGATGGATGCTGCTGTAGATGGGGTTCTGCTGTCTTTAAAAACTCACAGATGACAGCTTAGCAAAAGAGAGATGTTTCAAGGGAAGAGAAAAAAGTAGCAAGGAATAGCTTTAAAAGTTCCTGCATTTGACTCGACATGAAGAGATGCCACAAGTTAGAGATATCCAGCAGTTTAAAGGCCATCAGTAACCAAAAATATAAGAAAAAGTTGTGATTTGAAAGGCCAGAGCATCTTTTTGATGATAAAAGATTCTGGATGTCTGTAAATATTTCTGAATGACGCAAAAGGTTCTGTTGGTTAAAAGTGTGGAATTTTTATTTCTTTTGCTCAGACCCATTCTGTGCTTTTTTCTTGCATAAAAAAAAACTGCCTGAGTGAAAGAGTTGATTATTCTGATCTTTGGCAAATTTTCATTTGCAACTGTCCAAATGGTATATAATAAATCAAGACTTTTTTTACCCCATAGATTGAACCTTGTGGGGAAACTGCCACAGAATATGGCTGTGTTTGTTGCATAGAGTGATCTGCTGCATTATTGCAGAAAATTTTTAACTCCTTTGGTAAAGCAGTTTCTGGTTGTGCATGATGCTCAGGTAGAGGAGAACACTGAGGATTTCTCTTGTTAAATATTTTTATTCAGTGAGATTTTGAGTAAATTTTACTCAATGAATTGAGTAAATTTTTCGAGTGATTTTTTAGCTAGTGCTTTAAAACCATGACACACAGTCAGAAAGATCAGCCCCATTAATACTAATTTGACCATTCTTGGTTAAAAAAAATAAAAATTCTTCTTTTGCCATTTAACCTCTTACATTTACCCAGGGTAAAAGTAGCCTGAGCTTCTGTCACATTCTTTTCAGTGTTGTTAAAAATACACTTCTGTGTGAGAAACACTTTGTAGAGCTGGTGAACAGAGTAAGTGGGACAAAATCGAAGCCACTGAGTTCACATGCTCACTTTTTACAAAAGCTGGCTCTTTTCTCCCTCCCCCCCACTCTCTTGGGTATTGTACTTTTTCAGACATGATCAAGACCTTCACCTACACGATTTTATTTTCAGTCACTTTGCAGTTTATCTGCCTGGAGGCACAACTGGCAGCGGGATTCAGATGCTTTGAGTATTTGTGGAGCTTCCTAGAAATGCTTTGCAGCCTGCACTGAGCTCCATCCTGTGGCAGAAAGCCTCCTGCTGTACCCCCATTTTCATTCAAAGGTAGCTTGGACCTCCCTGCTCTGCTGCACAGTGCTGGCACATCTTTCATGGATTCCCACCAGCCATTCTCGGGTTCCTTGACTCCAGAGGTTTTCCAGCACTGCAGAGAGAAATTCATGGGTGAGGGGTCTTGCAAAAGCAAAGGGTGAGTTTTCACCCTGAGAGTCTGAGTGACAACATGGCCATGGTCAGTGTTCGCTGTGGGGTAAGTGTGTGGCACCCTGCCTCTCTTCTCTGGCATCACCCCTGGGGCTGTATCCCCTCAGGGGATGGAGATGTGGGCAAGGAAATACACTCCATGTGCACATCCCAGAGCCTGAGGCCACGTGGTGGTGTCACATATAAAGCCCAGGCACTGGAGCTGGCAAAGAGAAGGCATC